CTCACATTTATAATTACAATTAAATAAACCCATATTATATGTCATTAGTGTATTATTGACTTTGGCATATGGTCTCGTTTGCAGCTTAATTTGAGCAGAGGCACCTCTCACTAAGCAGTTTGTAACATTGCAGGACCCGAGAGAACACAAGGACCTGCACTGCAGGGAAGGAACCCACCCTTACCTTTTGCCCTGCATTTCCTCAGCTCTCTGTCCTGGATGAAGCCAGCAAACATTTGGGATTCCATGAAAACTTCCAAGAAGCGGCGGATACTCTTGGAGGCCACGGATTTACGGAAAGCCTCCCTTTGGAAGGCACGCTCGCCTTTTTCATTCTGGGTTAGGAACAGGGAATAATGTCCAACTGTCTCCACAAAGAATCGGATAAAAACCTCAGACACTAATCCATTCAGGGTGTTACATTCTGCAAAATAAGGCGGCAATAAGACACCACAATCAGCTGCTAGCAGAGCTGTCAGCATTGTCATCTGCACGGGGCAGGTACTGCATCTCGTGGTTCACTTATGCCATGCTAACAACTGACAGGAGTTGTACCTGCTCCCTGCAGACCTGGAGGCACATCAGATAGGCTAACAGCTTCATAATCACCACTGCCAGTCTATAGAATTGGTGTTTCATAACCAGGAGTCAATGAGAATTGTAAATTCTCAGGAAACAGCTCAGAAAATCAAACATTTTATGGGTGTTTCATCAAAACTATACCTCCTATTTTAAATCTTGAGCAAATTCTCTTAAGAAGCTTCTGAAGGATTCAACTCAGCATTAAAATATTTGCCCTGAGGATAATAAGCCTTTACCAAGAACTGATCAAAAAGGGTACATTGTAGAATTTGAGTTTTCATAATTTCTGAGATGTTAAAATAATTCTACACATGTAGCACAGATGGGTAGGAATGTATATGAAAAGCTGACTAATGGGCTGTTTCATACCTTTTAACAACAGGTATTTAAATTCACCCTGGACTGTTTGTATTGTTGCTGGAGGGAAATATGAACCTTCAGAGGCAACTCAACCCGTCTTGCACTGAAACTGTTTTCTGGTGGTACCTGCTTCTCTCCTCTGAAAACAGCACGAGCAGAAGGGGAGCACCTCCTAATTCAGACACATCCCTAAGCCTGTGGCTTGCATTAGGGCCAAGTTAACTGCAAACCTTTGTTTGAGCAGAGGGTTCAGAGGAACCCATGGGAGTGCATGTGATTCACAAAGGAATTGAAATACATCACTGGTGAGGCATTGCTGTGGGTTGATGCTACACGTCTCACTCCCTGTGTGCTCAGAGCCTGTCTTTGATGTCTCAAAAGGTCCTTGAGAACTTAAGTCCCATCTTTCTTTCTCCTGGATGGAAAGTCACAATTTTACCTGCATGCTTGTTTATACAAGGCCATGTTTCCAAATGAACTTACCATCGTCTGAATCACTATCTGAATCCTGATTTATTAGTTCGTTCTTTCTCTCTAGTGCCTGCTCCAGAGCAGCTTGCAATTTTCTAGGCAATAATGTATCTTCATCATCCATCTGACAGAGGGAAAAAAGAAATCTTTAGGTCACATTAATCTATGCAGAAACTACAGCAAATACTTTCAGAAAGTTTAACATTCAGAAGAGAAAAAAATTGCTACTGTCATGGCTACATAAACAAAAAAATGAAAATCTAACAAATGCAACAAAGAGTTTTAAACAAAATTTCTTGTCACTCTTGATGGGATTAAATTCAGGAATGATAATCCAAAGAGCAGGTAAACATATAGAAACTTGGAATCAACTCTTTACATGACAGAGTCCAAACAGTTGTGTTTAAATACACACCATGTGAAGCCTCGCTATGTGTACACACAGCTGCTCTGGTTGATTTTAGGCAGCTTCTTTGGTTCTTGACAGTTGTTTTTACTATATTGTAGTATATCTTGTTTTCTAGGTTTTCCCCCTGTTGCTCTCTTCATCTCATTTAATGCTTGTTCAGCAAAAGCAAGTAGACACAAGAATCTTAGCTCTGCAGCCATTAGTCACAGCCATGCCATCCAGGGAATTGTACAAGAAAGTTTACTCATCTAACCTGCAGATGGTTGTTCTTGAAATTATTTAGTGCCACATGACTGTCAGGAGATGTTGATCCTTCACCTCCCTGATTACAAGGCTCCTGCTTTTCCTGTCACATTAAACTATTCGTCACCTTTCCTCTCTCATTCAGAAACTTTGCTTTGTAGTTTTTGTCCTTTTCACCTCCAACAGTGTGAGTTTTCTTGCTAAGGTGATGTTATTATCTTTGGATGTTTGCTTTCCACTGTGAATACAGTTCTTGATTCCTTTGCATACCTGAGAAGCACTTACTTGCAGGTGAAACAGAAAATGAGCATGTTTTTTTTTGCCTAATCACTTTCCCTGTGCACACACAATTCCTGCCAAATAGCTCTGATCAAAGAAACCTAATCATACTATAGAATTAACAGCTTGCTAGCCTGCATGGCAACATTTTGAGATGTACTTTACCTGTCTGATGAATCGATCAGATCCAAGGTTAACCATCAAAGCCTAAAGAAGAGAAAATATTGTAGTGAAATATATCTGAAGAGAGAGAAAACATTCATTTGTTCATTGCCTTTTAGAAGTGAAAGATCATCTGAACAGTGACAAGTTTTGACATGAATCAAATTCCTACTGTGAAACAAGGGGCTGTGTGCTTTATAGAACAAGAATATGAAGGTGTTTTTTCGAGCTAAAATTTAACATAGAGCTAATTTAACATAGTTAAATTAGTGCTAATTTAGAGCTAATTTAATATAGTTAGGTACAACAGATCTTATACTAGGTTAATAGCTAAAAAGGCTAAAAGGGTTAGGTCTTTTTTCTTAAATCTAAGCAATTTATTGCTAATAACTTTTGTTAACATGCAATTGAAAAGTATTTCAGAGGGAGGTAAAGAAAACAGTGTCACTGGGTGCAGTAGGAATTCTGAAGGGCAAAGGTGTGAAATATTCATGATAATGAAGCAGCAAAGCTGAGAGATGGAGTTAGGAAGATGTGGGAGAGCAATGTTAGGGAAGTGAAAGGAAAGCAGGGCAGAGATTTACATGGGACAGAGGCACACAGGACCTTGATAGTGAGCACAAGAAAAGAGTATTTCTTACAAAAATGACAAGAAACTAATAGGACTAAGAGAGAAGAGTATGCCCTTGAGTATTTATGTGGTATTTTACTAGAAGAGCTGATGAAGAGCAACTGTAATTTGATTTCCAATATAATATTAACAGTCTTAGAAGTGAAAATGAAAATTTGGAAATGTTTTGTTTTCTGTGTGAGCTATGGCTTCATGCACAGCTTCCAATAGTTTTAAGAGATGCCACAGCAGATGGCTTCCTCTCTTAGTTCCAGAACAAATTAGCATGTTCACACCCAACTTACTTGTTGACCAGGCAGACATTCACTTCTCACTGTCAAGGTGCCAGGTATGGGAAGAGGGGCGGAATAACAAGAGGAGTAAACCTATTACTGCAGTTTTACCAAGATGCAGTTGCCCGTGAGAATTAGGCAGAGAAGAATCAAAGAGGCAGATTCAAAATTAAATAAGTGAGGATCTATGTGCGAATGGCAGGGTGAGGCTCACATAACTCCAGGCAAAAATGTGTGGTCCCAGCTCCTACCTCCTCTACAGGCAGCTCCTTGAGTTTGGGCAGAGAGCTGGAGAGCAGTCCCACCAGGAAGGGGGTAGGGCAGCACACGATGTCAATCATGGATGAGGGTAGAACAGGAATGAAGGTGTGCTGCCAGGAGAAGGGGTACAGAAGGGCCACCACAGCATGTGAGCAGCTCGAGAGGGTGCTGAGGGGAGAGGAACAACCAGGTTAGCAGAGGTTCTTTTTAGTTCAGAACTAAATGCTGATAGACTCAGCACGTTGAAATAAAAGTGCCTGTCCGTCACTTCTGTCTTCAGACAGCTTCAGTCCCCTTCCAGTCCCTACCACCTCTGTATTGTGCAGTGTGGTAGTTCCTCCCTTGCTCTCCTTAGGAGACTTCAAACTAAAGGTAAAAAAATGGAATCCATTTGTTTCATTATAGCAGTCAGGAGACAACTTCGATCTAGAAGACAAGGTTCAATGTTCCCCAAAACACTCAAAAGCAGCTACTTAGAATGTTGCTTAAAATCCAAAGGCATCTTCAAATATTCGGTGTTACAACCATGTCAGTAGTGAAAACTCATAGCAGAGATGTTCTTACCATCAAGCACTAATGCACCAACAAGGGAAAATGAAAAATAAAATACAAACAAAAAAATCCAAAAGAAAAACTCTTTGAAATCAGATGTAAACTCCCCCTCTCCCCCAACAATCCAAAGGAAATCTGGTAAGAGCAACACATTTTTCAAAGTTTGTATATTTTTGTGACAACAGCATATTTTTATTATAATACATATGAATGGGCTTATTAATGAACTTCAGTGATAAAGGTATTGAGCCTACTCAGCAGAGTACTTTAAAATACAGGTTGGTATCCCCTAGACATTAAGGCTTGGTAGTGTCATGGAAAATGTCTTGCTTATGTTGTCCTTCGATCTACTGAATCTGATTCCCTTTTGCAGTCACATGGTTTCCAAATGTTAAAAACAGAGGAACATCATTACCACGCCAGTCTGAGCATCAGGGGAGTAAAGACAAGCTCTCCATATCAGAGCTTTCATTTTGAACTGAGTTAGAGCATCTGCTTCAAGCAGGCTGGGATGACAGAAATTTGGATTTTTACCCAGCCTTGCATGGTGGAATGAATTTTCTCACACTGCAAACCTCTGCTGTGCTTAATGTAGCCACAAAGGTCTATAAATAATAATTGGAGAGCTGTTACTGCTTGAGAATGTTGGGGAGATATGCTGATTTATTCTACTGCAAGACTTGGTGGAGACTTTAGGTGGCATCCGACCTCCACTGGAATAACCTTCATGAGTACTTTCAGTCATGGATTATTCCAAGGCCAGAAGAAAGGTTTCATCTGTTTGTTCTGGCCAGTGATTAACCTTTGAAATTTGCTGAATGAGAAAAGTGAGAATTAGAGGACAAAGGGAGAAAAAGTTGGGGATGAGCAAATGCTTTTCTTTTACTGCAGGTAATCTGTTCGGTTGGTTTTAATTGAAATTTCCTTTAAGATCTAACAATCACAGCATGGTTTTATAAGATGTCACCTGACACATTTCCTGTAAAATTATGCATTTCTCTAATTTAGTTTTTTCTATAGCAGGCAAGTGAGAATTAGAGGACAAAGGGAGAAAAAGTTGGGGATGAGCAAATGCTTTTCTTTTACTGCAGGTAATCTGTTCGGTTGGTTTTAATTGAAATTTCCTTTAAGATCTAACAATCACAGCATGGTTTTATAAGATGTCACCTGACACATTTCCTGTAAAATTATGCATTTCTCTAATTTAGTTTTTTCTATAGCAGGCAATGGTGCTGCCATTGCCTCATATTGCTGCCATTGTGGTGCTGCCATTGCCTCATATTTTGGTCTCAAGTGTTTACCATAGCAGGCACGGCGGTGTGTTTCAGAAGAGCTGTGGAACATGGTACATTCTCCCAGCACTTTCTCAAGCTCACTTTAATGCCTCTCTGTCGTTTTCAGCTACTACAAATTCAGTCATCTTAGCTGAGCAACCAAAAAAAGAGCTAAAAGCAGGAAGGCAAACATTCTTCTGCTGTTCAGTTAGTATTTTTTTCCTTTCTATCGAATGCGCTTTTGTAACTTGTTGTTTTACACGCAGTGCTGTGACGTAAATCAGCCCCTGCATCTTCTTGTGTGTCCTATTCCCACGCTAGGGGAGGCTTCAGGCTCCCTCCCAGGACACTGGTTTCTCTTCCAGAGCTTTCCTTGGAGCTGGATGGGGCAAGGCAGAAGTGGAATGCAGCACGTGGCCATAGTGGGGGATGTCCACTCTGCCCTGACAGCATCCTGCCACAAACACAATGTCACCCTGGTCAGCACCTCAGACTTTGCATTTTTACGACTGCACATTTTCTCAAACTCAGCCTCAGAAAATCTTCCACTGTGAGATATCCCCTCCCCATGAAACACTCCCTTGGAACTTTGAGTCCCCAGAAGTGCCTGCTGCCCTCCACCCTGGGCACAGCTTGCAGAGAAGGCAGTGGAACTCCCACATGCTGTTACTAAACTCCTGCTCATAGTAAGTCCCCAAAATTCTTCCATAGATGGAAAGATTCATGTTTAGAAAGGAAACACACCTTTCACTTCTGTGTGAGGTTTTTTCATTCTGTAAGGTAAAATTCAGAGATGATGGGTGTGAGGAAACCCCAAGTTTTACTCTCTAAAATATGGTTCAGATCCTTTTAGAAGGGTATTATTCATGAGAAGTGTGTTTAGTCAACTAGAAAAGAAAGCCCTGCCCTGGGAAACCAAGTCTGCTCCAGTTTTTCCTTTCAAAGATGTGCAACCCACACATTGTCCTGCTGTTCTTGTTTATGAGAAATAAGCAGTAAGGTCAGATGATTTATTTTCTTTAAGGTGTGTGAAGCACACGAAGTGAAGCAGCAGAATAGTCAAAGAAGTTAGATTTTCAAAATATTTTCACTTTCTGTACTCTGGGGCAGTTATGGTAATCCAGAGAGCTGCATTTGAGAGTGGGCTGTTTCATTTGGTCGATGCAGTTTTACAAGAACACTGCATAATGTCCTAGCTGCTGTTCTGCTGGAAAATGCTCCTTACATTACCCATATGCAGGTAATTTTATACATGGGCACAAGAAACCAAACCATTGCTTGAGTCACACACTAACAAGGAGCATACACCTCACACACTTCAGAGGGGAAGTGCTGCTGGAGTCATGCACAAGTGGGAGACACACTGTGCTGATTCCAGGGCTCTGGTCACTCCCATGTGACATGGGGGCAGCTGTGCCTGGGGTCCCAGCACTGCACTTGAATGTGCTTCCATTCTTCTCCCAACACAGAGGTGGTGCCACTGCTCCATGCTGCCAGCACTAGCACCAAGCTCTCACCCTGCCCCAAAGATGTGGACTAGGCTGTGCTGCTCTGTCTCTGCAGAGCTCCCAACGGGAAGAGGCAGCTTTCTGCCTAAACACAGCGCATCTGGGTCAGCTCTGCTGGCTGCAGACTGTCTGGCACACACAGGGAGCTGTACATGTGGAGTAAGTGTCCTGACAGTACCTGACTCTGAAAAGGTGGTTGTATTTGCAGCTTCTGTGTGATAAGGGAATTTTCTAACATACAGATGGGTAAGGCTATTACTTAGCTGTACTACACAGCCTCTGCCAATAAACTCATCCTTTGAGCCTGGCCTCATCCTAGTAATTTGCACTCTGCTAAAGCAAAATTAGAGAACAATTAGTAGAAAACCACCCAGTTTCAAAACTCTAGGATGTGCTCTAGGATGATTCTGCTTGACTAGGGAGGTTGGACCAGATGACCCATTGTGATCCCTTCCAACCTAACTGATTCTGTAATTCTGTAACCGTTACTGTCCTTTAGATAAGAAGGATGTCTGCTATCAATTTCTGGGTCGGCCAATCAACAAATAACTGCAAGCCTAGGCTATATTCATATCTTATCACAGCACAATTACCATATTCTGAGAAAGACACACTGTCCACTGTTGGACAGTGACTGGACACTGCCCTGGCTATGGGAAGTGTTAGTGCTGGATGTGTCTGTTTTAGAGGACCATGGCTTGTTTGTACTGCAAGTCACCAACTCTCTCAAAATGTTAACATCAGATTCAGCTACACATACTACTCACAATAGAAATATTCCACAAATACACTCAATAACTCTCTTTATAACAATAGCCAACAGTTAATACTCCCCACTTCCTCCTCTACACTTAGAATTTCTCACAGACTCAAATGAGCCTCACATACTGAACATTTCCCAATCCAGGACTAATCCTCTAGCACAGACAAGCATTTGCAGTCAAGGCTCCCTGATCCCACCTTGCTACTCACATGCACCTCCCAAGTAGTTTCAGCATTTGTGTTGAAGGAAGGGAAGGTAAGAATATCTCTTCCCCTTCCTCCACTTCTCCCAAGGGACAGACAAGCTTCCTCAGCTGGGAGAGGAGGGAGGGCCACCCCTTACATGCAGAGCCAAGCCACACAGCAGCTCCGTCACCCCAGGGCTGGTGCCAGCTCTGTGCTCTGCCAATGCTCTGGACCATGCAAAGCACTGGGATGACTGTCAGAATCTGGTTCCTCTGGTTCCTCAGATGGAGAAATATAGCCAAAATGTAAATGCACAAGAAAGTGTTTCCACTGCCCATGTTTACTTTTCCACAACCTTTTTATGTTTCTCATTTCTCCCTGCTGATTAAATTATGTTACTCTGTCCAGATTTGCTGAACTCTTTCCTCTGCTATGTTAAAGCATTCATGCTCTAGCCCACAACCACTGAGACTGAGTTACCTCCCTGACACACATCCCCTTGTCTGCTTGGGAGAGCTTCCTCCCACTCGAGGTTGGTGTCTGGAGGCTCTGTCCTTCCAGGTGCAATGCCTTGACTCACATGGGTACTACACACCCCTATGCCTTCTCATCAGAGGCCACTGCCATGCTTTTCTGTGACAGCTCCTACCCTTGGGCCACTGATGAGCTGCGTAGCAAAAACAGATGTCTGACACTTCCCTCCTACACCCTTCAATGCCTTTCCAGATCCTGGATTAATTCCAGTCTCTGACAGAGAGAGAGGTCTGTGACAGTTCTGCAAGATAAAATAGTCTGAGAGGTTTGCAGAAGACTCTGTAAAGGACTCTGGGAAAACACCACAGGCCAGGTACTCAGCCCATCTCCCCTCACAACACATACAGGCTAC